CACTGTTGTTGTGGTTAGGAACACGGTTGTTAAGTGAATCCAAGGTTGCCGGGGCAGGGACACAACCGTCATAAATATGAGTCACTTGCCAAGCGCCTGAATTTTGATCATGTGAGCATGGAGATGCCGTAATGGTCATAAGGGTGAAAAAGGGTCACGTCCCTGGGAACTTCAAACCGTCACTAAGTGAGGCCACCGAAGGGGATCCCGTCCTGCTCTGCCCCCCATCTTGTGCATTACAGGTAGCCTTCGACATACAACTCCTCGTTTAGTGACCATTCAAAATGACAACAGCAAATTAGGAGGAGGGGAAACAAGAAAATGCCCCCTCCACCATCCCTGCCTCCGCCATTTAGCCCCCCCTGTGATGTACGGATCGACACAGCCCCTTCCTCGCGGAAGACCCCTCGTCCTGCTCAGCCGGCCTCGCCCCGAAAGGACCCCCCCGGCCGGATGAGACGGACAGACTCCCGCCCGACACCGGAGCAGCCCAGCCCAGCCCCCGCCGGGCACCTGGTGGAAGATGAGCGCCTGGCTGATGTAGCCCCAGGAAGAGGCGGCCGAGCGGAGGTGGATGAAGCCCAACAGGAGGAGCATCAGCCCCAGGCTCCCCGAGGCCCCCGCCGGGCTGATCAGGAACATCATCACCAGGCAGGAGACGATGCCAAGAAGGCAGGTGTGCCAGGAGAAGAGCTGGAAGGTGGGGCTGCGGAGACAAAAGGGGGAGAGAGATAGAGAGAGGAAGGAAGGAAGGAAAGAAAGAAAGAAGGAAAAATGAAGAAAGAAGGAAAAGAAAGGAAAGAAAGAGGGAAGAAAGGAAAGAAGAAAAAAGAAAATAGAGGGAAAGAAAGGAAAGAAGAAAAAGAAAGAAAGAAAAGAAAAGAAGGAAGGAAGAAAAGAGAAAGAAAGGAAAAAAAAGAAAGAAAGAAAAAAGAGAGAGAGAGATGGATGTGGCTGGCAAGGTCCCCCCTCCATCCCTTCTGGGACTTGAGGTCGCACCTGAACCCACAGCCTCCCCCTCCCCCCGCGTGTGCCCTCCCCCTCCTCCCTCTTGGGACGGGAGCTGCACCCACCGGAAGTTGGGGGCCGAGGCCCACTCGAGCGCCAGGCAGGCCAGGTCAACGGCGGCATAGGCCACCAGGTAGAAGACGGTGACGATGCCAGCGATGGTGTTGAGTTTCCCCACCAGGAGCACCAGCTGAGGAAGGCAGAGCTCCTTAAAGGGGGGGAGGGACCCGGGAAAGCCCCCCCACCCCAGCCGGCAGGTAGGTGCCCACCTTCCACCCTTCACAGCTCTGCCCAGGCCCTCAAGTGCCCTCGCTTAGGGCCAGAAGGGGGCCAGCCATTGGAGCAAAGAACCGGAGAAGGGATGGGTTCCTAATGAGGGTCTCTTCTGCCTTGAGGACCCCCGGAGTCACCCGACGTGGACCAGGGGCGGGAAGAGAGTTTGGGGGTCCTGGGAGGGAGGGGCTGATTTCCCGGAGGGCACAGAGGCAGGGGAGATGGGAGTGTCTGGGGGGGCAGGAAGAAGGCAAGGCCGGGGAAGGCGAGCTCTCTGGCAGCTCACAGGAGTCTCCCTCTCTCTCTCTCTCTCGTTATGCTTTCCTCTGGCAAGATCCTGTCTGCAGGTCTTACTAGGCTCACGACTCTCCATTTAGTGGCCATTCAAAGGTACGCTGAAAAGAGGCACTTATGACCGTTTCCCCACTCTTAAGGCCGTCGTAGCATCCCCAGGGTCACGTGATCAAACTTCGGATGCCACCGTCTCATGACGGTCGCCGTGTCCCGGGGTCGCTCGATCCCCTTTTGACGACCGACCCCCTGACAAGTAAAATCAACGGGGAAGCCGGATTCACTCTTCCTAACTTAACAACCGCAGTGTTCCGCTTAGCGACGGTGACAAGAAAGGGCAACAAACGTTCCACTTGAGCAACAGAAATTTGGGGCCCGATCGCAGTTGTTAAGTCGAGGATTCCTTGTATACAGCAGGAGTCTCCAAATGTGATTTTGAGACTTGTGGGAGTTCAACTTCCAAAATTCCCAGCTCGCTTGTCCTAGCTAGCTGGCTGGGGAATTCTGGAAGTCCAGAAGTCTTAAAGTGGCCGCATTTGGAGGCCCCCAACTAAAGATGAACACCAAAGACAACTCATTCCGCCTCTTGGGCTTCGTTCTTAGGGCCTGATTTTGGGGGGCGGGGGAGATGTTACCTGTGCGAGGCCCCAGGTGTAGAGGACGGCCACCCAGGGGTTGCCTCCTCTGGAGACAATCTTGGCCGGAGCCAGGACAACACCTGCGGGGAGAGAAAGAAGCATCTGTCAGGCCTGCAGCCATCTTTTCTTGTGGGTCTCTGGCCTGCCACATTTTCCATTATTCTACGATGCTTTTTCTATGGTAGGAAAATGGGATTGTATGGAGTTAGACGCTAGGTAGCCATAACAACATTCTTTCTAGAAAACCAAGGTCATCCTTTCTCTCTGCACCTGGATGGGTGGGAACTGCCAGCAGGGCAGTGGGAGATTGGACCATGGGATGGGCTTGTGGGTGTGTGGATGCAAGATCTTGAACTTTCAATTGGGTGGGGGAAGCTTTCAGATTCGGGTTTCCCCAGATGTGCCAACATGGCTCTCTTCATAAATTGGGAACTTTTGAGGAATCCTTTGCCTTGGACTCTGATTTAATTTTGGATGCTATTTGGAACCCTGACAAGCCGGTTGCAGAGCCTCTGAATTTGGATC